GGGCAGTAAAACAAAATGTCTTAAAAGTTTTAAATAGAGAAAATGTGATTTACACAGTTGCCTATAAAAAGTGCTCTATGTTATCCCAGCAATTCACATCATAAGCTTCACTCTTATTGTTGTATGCAATTTTCACTATCATGCAAAATAAGCTTAGGTAAATAAAACTAACAGATCACCTGAGAGAATTACGCAATTAATGTGAAAATGACTGATGTTTGCAATGTGTCTTCCTTTGGTTTACAATCAATTTTAAAGCTACGCCTATATAAAATTTCTGTATAAAGGTATATTTCTTTTTTATGAGTTTATGGCTATGAAAACACCAGTTATGTTGTTACAGCTGGCTGTTTTTATCAGTCTATCACAATTTCCTTTACGCAGAAGTATTCTGATTAGGAGTGGTTATTGACTGTAACTACACAATCAAACTTGTTCGTATGGTTAAAAAAAAAAAAATCTGATATGGGGATTTGTGAGCAAATGAACAAAAGGTCTGGGCAGAGAACGATGAGAGGGAAACAGGAGTCATAGGGCTACAATATACCTTTGGAGACGATTTTAACAAGGGGAAATCAATCACATCAAATGCTACAGAGAGGTCAGAGAGTAGGAAAAGTGAGAAAAAGACAGTGAACTTAGAAATTAGGTCACCAGAGACCTGTGAGAAGTGAGGCAAGCATGGAGCATTAAATGTTCAGGGCAATGAAGGAAGATAAGAGGCGCCCATTCTTCTAGGTGAAGGAGAAAATGAGATTCCCACCGGCTGAGACTGGAGAGGGTGTAGGTCAGAAAGAGAGCAGTAGGGAGAGCACAGCAGGGGGGATGTAGCTACCATGGGAATCTGATAGGCAGCCAAGTAGAAGGGTTTCTGTGGAGCCAGGGGGATAGTCAGCTGCAGGGAAAGAATAGTAACAACTTCTGTGAGATCAACTGGAACCCTTATAATGACTTCCTCCCTGCCAGGTCTGTGATCTAGAAGCAGGAGGCGCTGTTTATCTAGCTTTAAGGAGTCCCTGGGGGGTGCAAACAGTTAACACACCGGGCTGCTAACTGAAAGGCTGGCGGTTCTAGTCCGCCCTGAGGCACCTAGGAAGAAAGGCCTGGTGATCTACTTCTAAAAAAAACAGCAATTGAAAGCCCTGTAGAGCACAGTTCTGCTCATGACACACGTGGGGTCGCTATGAGTCAGAATCGAATTCACAGCAACTGGTGTTTTAAAGGAGTCACAATTTTGGAGGCCAAAATTCAGAGTGCCAAAAGTTGTAAAATATCCAAGCAGTCATGGAATAAGAAAGCCAGAAGACTGATGATGGGCTTAGAATTAAATAATAATATTAAATAGTATGAAATGTTTTTAAAACATAAAATGTATTATAAAATACCTAAATATAAACTACTATAAAATATGACTAGATGACTGAAAAAGCAGCATGCACATACATCCCCTTCCTGCCAACCCTTTCTAACTGCTCCAGAAATCAGCTAGGGTAACGTATATATAGTACGCATGCACGCACGCACGCACGCGCGCACACACACACACACACAAAAGAGTTACACATCAGGGCGAAGGAGACAGAAACAGTAAGAAGAAAATGGCTTTAGTACGTTTAGAGATGTACACAATGATTACATCTATCTTCTTTTCTTTATTGAGATAAGAATCATCTAGAATACAAATATTTTATCATCTACCAAAAGGTCTGCGGCACCCTGGATTAAAGCTTTAAAGCTTTTGATGTCTGGACTAGGAGGAGGAAGGAGGAAATATCAGGACTGTCGCTTTAAAAGAAATGAACAAAGAAAGAGAATGAAAACGCTCATCAGAGGCAGGAGCATGGTGCATGTAAAAGCAATGCATTCTTCACGGGCATTTTTATTTCTAAGTATGAAATATTTTAAACGCGCCCAAACATAAGTGCAGAAACTACCGTTGGTAATACCAGTGCACCAGTTCACCCGATGTTAATAACTCAGGCATATGTGATTCAGATTTTTAAAAAAAATAATCGCAGATAAAGCTCAAGGTCAACTGTCCTGGATTATGCACTTATTATTCCACAGACAGAACTTGGCCTCTTTGTTTTATTTCTAAAGAGAATCTCATGACCTTTTAGGAATATTCTAGGTACCTGTTGCTGTCGAATCGATTCCGACTTGTAGCGACCTTATAGGATAGAGTAGAACTGCCTCATAGGATTTCCAAGGCTGTAAATCTTTACAGAAACAGATTGCCACATCTTCCTCCCATGAAGCAGCTGGTGGGTTCGAACTACTAACTTTTCGATTAGCAGCCAAGTGTTTAACCACTGTGCCACCAGGGCTCCTATTCTAAGTATACATAAGATATTCTTTATCGTGTTTTCTTCAGTCGGTTTTTATAAAATATCTATTTATATTCCCAAAAGACCACAAAGATGGGATGATAGTGATGAAATCTGTAATGAATAAACTCAGAAAAGATCCCAGAATTCAGGGCTACCTGGAATGTAACTTTTTCTTGCTGGAGTCTCAACTACAGTAAAGTAAAACAAGATGTTCACCCTCCTCACCAAATATTTATTAAATGCCTCCGGGGTACAGTGTCAATAAAAAAAAATCACACTATTCAAAAAGTGGCTCATGGACCAGCAACAGCCACATCATGCCCAATCCACACCTGCAGAATCTGAGTCTTTAACAAGATCCCCAAGTGATGTGTACATACGTTAAAGTTTGAGAAGCTCTGTCTTAAAGAATTTGGGAAGGGGACAACCTATACAGAGGTAGAACCCAATCCAACAACCATTCTACCATCCTTGTGCTTTCCCATTGGGTGGCACATCCCTCTGGCGTTATCTCTGTAAAGTCCGCTCATCAGTCTCATTAGACCTGTGGTTTTCAACTGGGAGGGGTTTTGTCCCCTCTCTAGGGGATATTTGGCAATGTAATTTTTGATTATCGTAACCTAAGCTGGGTCACTGTTACTGGCACCTAGTAAGTAGAGCTCAGGGATGCTGGTAAACATCCTACATTGCAAAGAATGGCTTCTCACGACAAAGAATTATCTGGCCCAACATGTCAACAGTACCAAGCAAAATGCCGAATAAGACCTATGACTTCCTAGCTAAAATAACTGTTATCCAACTTCAGTAATTTAATGAACTGATTTGAGCAACCACATCCATGGTGGAAAAAGCACTAAACCCAAACTCAAAAAAAATCACGTCCAACACCCCACCCCTAAGCAAGGAGTTTATGTTTCTCACAAAAGTTAGTAACCAAATCAACAATCCATCAACAATGACAACCAAGACCAGCTAAGGTAAAATAAACAAGATGCGCACATTGAAATATCTCCCAATCATACATGCTGAATAAAAAGTAAATTCATTGCTACCTGTAAACTCATTGTCCATACCTCTTCAATAAAAACAGTCTGGTGCTCATTTAGCTTAATGAATTCTTCATTTTTCTCCTGTCACCTAGGATCTTGAAGTGAAGACATGCTTTGGCCATTTCAAGATGCCAAGTACTCACTGGGCTAAACAACTTCACTGAGAGGAGACGTCGTATCGCACATGAACTTTCAAAAGGTAATTCAAACAAAAAAACCTCAAGCATTATCAAGGGTTTTTTAACTTCATCAAAATGCCAGGAAGAAATCATTTTCTTCTTCAGAGAAAAGGAGAATCACAGCACACCAGTAGGATGGTGGAAGCTGGTCCATGTAAGAGAAAAACGGGTTACTGTGCACAATTAAACAGAAGAGAAGTAATGAGCTCAAAGCCAACTAATCACGTTTTTACTAGGATGAATGTATTTCTGGGGTGAGCACTGCTGTACAAGCCTTTAGCAACTAAATTCTGCCCAAAGAGAGAGCCCATAGGTTATACGTAATACTGTACAGCTTGGGGAGCCCTGGTGGCGCAGTGGTTAACAGCTTGGTTGCTAACCAAAAGGATGGCAGTTCAAATCCACCAGCCGCTCTTTAGAAACCCTATGGGGCAGTTATACTCTGTCCTATGGGGTCACTATGAGTCAAAACCAACTTGACAGCAATGGTTTGGTTTCGGTTTTTTTGGTACAACTTGGAAACACCTACCGCAGCACAACTCTAAGATCGTAAGTTGCAACAAGGCACAAGGGTACTCATTATCTAGATCAGAATGAATCTCTGGCCTTGATATTCAAGCCATGCAATCTGGACTGGCCAAATTTCACATGCTCAATAGCCATACACTAGTGGCTACCACTGTCCATACAGATTAGACAGTGCGGATCTAGAAGGGATTCAGAGAAGCATTTTATGCTATTTTGATCACGTTTATTTTTGTATATTTTCTAATTTATAAAAATGATGCAAATCAGAAAAAAATCACAGAAAAGCACCATTTTGAAAAGTCACCCATAATTCCATACCAAAAATACCAATTAACGCTTGGATGGGTACACCTGCAAGACATAGTCCCATGCCCAAACTACATAGGGTTGACTTCTCAAAAAGCAAGGTCTGTGTCAATCCATGAAATACAACGGCTCTTTAAAAATATGTGTAAACACTTGGACTCATTTTTATAAATCCATAAAAATTGATCATCTAGGAGAAAGAAAAAAATATCTCCTAGAACTTTGGAGTTTTACGGGAAATCATTCACCGTTTTAGGGAAATGCTGGTCTCCATGTTACCTAAAAGCACTCAGACTGCCCTGCTTCTCTAATTTTTCTGCCTTGTCATCTGACTGCTCTAGTCTTCCCTTTTCGTTCATATATACATACACCAAAATCAAACCAAATCCACTGCTGTCGATTCTGACTCACAGTGACCCTATATAGGGCAGAGTAGAACTGCCCCGTAGGGTTTCCAAGAAGCAGCTGGTGGATTCAAACCGCCGACCTTTTAGTCCGCAGCCAAGCTCCTCTTCACCACTGTGCCACCAGGTCATATCTGTATCTATACCTCGATATAGATATACAGATATAGATATATGGGAAAAAATTTGTGCCTAACTTATATAGAGAAGAAAACTTAGTTTCAAGAACTAGTTGGGTTTGATGTATTCCGTGCCCTTCATCTTATTACTCAGCGTTGACTGGGAGCCTCTAAGTGCCCCACTGATTGACTGGTCCACATCTGTTTCCAGGCCCTTGCCGTTGGAAATCAGAAAATGATCAATTCCACCACCACACCACCTGCAGAGGGGGTCTGCTCCTGGAACTCCCTGGTAACCCAGTATATCATCCCTGTGCTGTACTGCATGGTCTTCATCGTGGGGATCCTGCTCAACGGAGTGTCCGGATGGATATTCTTGTACACGCCCAGCTCCAAGAGTTTCATCGTCTATCTCAAAAACATCGTTGTTGCTGACTTCCTGATGAGCCTGACTTTTCCTTTCAAGATCCTCAGCGACGCAGGCGTCGGCCCCGGGCAGCTGAATGTGTTTGTATGTAGGGTTTCTGCCGTGTTCTTCTACACCAACATGTATGTCAGCATCATGTTCTTTGGCCTCATCAGCTTCGACAGATACTATAAAATCGTCAAGCCTCGTCTGACTTCTTCCATCCAGTCAGTGAAGTACAGTAAAGCCCTGTCCGTGATGGTGTGGATGCTGATCCTCCTTCTCAGCATCCCAAACATTATTCTGACCAACCAGACTGCTGGGGAGAAGACGTGTATAGAATGTATGAAACTGAAAAACCAACTGGGACGGAAGTGGCACAAAGCGTCCAGCTACATCTGTGTGAGCATTTTCTGGATAGTGTCTTCTCTGCTAATCATCTTCTATGCTGCTATCACAAGAAAAATCTTTAAGTCCCAGCTTAAGTCCGGAGGGAATTCTATTTCGGTCAAGAAGAGATCTAGCCGCAACATATTCAGCATTGTGTTCGTATTTGTCATCTGCTTTGTGCCTTACCACGTTGCCAGAATCCCTTATACAAAGAGTCAAACAGAAGCTCATCACAGCTACCAGTCAAAAGAAATCTTGCTCTACTTGAAAGAATTCACTCTGCTACTGTCTGCTGCGAATGTATGTCTGGATCCCATTATTTATTTCTTTCTATGCCAACCATTCAGAGAAACCTTATGTAAGAAATTGAACATCCCATTAAAAGCTCAGCATGATCTAGAAACTTCCAAAACCAAAAGGGAAAATACAGCACATGAAAGCACAGATATTTTATGAATTCCTCCACGCTTCCAAATAAAGTCCAGGTATGCATGCTGTAATCTCCAACTACAGAGTAAGAGAAATCCATAAGAAACGTACCCATGACAGTAAGCTTCATCTCTAGGCATTACTATCCAATTCAGTACAATAATAAAATAAAATGTGTGCTTTATTGTGACATCAAAGAAAAAATATCCATCAGCAGATTTTTGTTTGCATACTGAAATTTATTCTTTCTGTTAATAAAAGAGAAAGAAAGAATACACACATCATTCAATCCTGCTCCATCAAAATACAAGGTTTAAGTTTACAGCTCTAGTCTAGTCAGTGAACACAGAATTTTAAATAGTACAGAAAGCAATCTAAGACAACTAACAGGCACGTGTTTTTCTTTCAACATAAGAATTAAGTTTGTAAGTTATATGGTTTTCTTTAATAGGGTCATTAAAGACCAAGTTAAATGCAGGCACAGTTTGATGAAGGGCTAGAGGCTTGATTGTAATGAAAAAGTCAAGATGTCTCTGATTTCAAGAAGCCAGGTAAGCAGATAACCACTTAAGAATCCCCTGATTAATCTCATGGCATTTTTCAAAGGAAAGCAGACATAAATTATGTACTTTGCTAGAAGAACGCAATTCTTTTTCTGAAAAAAATTAGAGGACAATATAAGATACGTGTTAAATATGTTTTATATGAAGACTTGTTAAGCCACTTAGTGACCTGGGGGCTTTAGTGTTCAAACAGTTTTCTGTGGACTCCACAGAGGGAAGCTTAATATTAGCATGAGTTGCCAGCAACCTCCCATTAAGTGGTATGGAAAACAATAGAGTAACCTGGAAATAGAATGACACCCACGCACACATACTAGAGACCTGCAACATACTATTCTCTTAGAAAACCACTGGACTTGATGAAAAGAAAATCTAAAACTTACAATAATGAGTGAGAAATAAGAACGTGAAATAAAAATTCATTTATTACATTTTCTGGGAAACAGACGAATTTAATTTGTGAAGATACATGATAAGGCTGTCTGCTTGTGAGTTATTAAAGTGAAGTTCTTTCTCTGCTATGAACTGGCTAGAACATATTCAGCCCATCTTTCAAACGTTCTTGTCAGACATTTCTGTAAGTAATGCTTGGATATACGTCATGCTTTACTACGTACTAATAAAGCAATTATTTTTAATTTTGTCTTTTTTTTAAATCAAGTTAAATGAGAGAACATTACAAGATTTCTTCATAGTCAAGTCATGGGTAGTTTCTTTAATATGCTCAATTATGCATACTGCCCAGCAAATCCAAAAATTCTATTTGCCACTGATATTTCAAAAATACGGGTTTTATATGCGCTAGGGTCTCATTGCATTTTAGGCAAAACTCAGAAGGCACATCCTCAGTGTGTGATGGAGGAAAAGCTGGGAAAGTTTTCACCCTCTCTACTCACTTTCCACCCTTGTAACGGCTCCCTGCTCCCAATTCTGGGTTAAAAAAAAAAAAAAGGGGACAAAAATCACGGAGGTATGATAAACTTGCTTGGTAAACTAACCTTGCTGTATTTATTCGGCTAAATATACATGCAAACAAATCTGGCTGTGTTTGTTCTTCACAATGCCCATTGGCCCACACATTTGTGGGGTTTTGAATACCCTCCACTGGGCCACAGGAGAGAGCAAACGTAAAGATGAGATGAGTAACACCAACTAGGGGTTTTGTAACCATCTGCCAAAGCTGAGCAGCAATGCGAAATCAAGGTGTTTCAGGAAACAATGGGCAGCGTAGATGAGGATACTGAAAAGCAATAGCTGAGTAACAGATTCTGAGTATTTGGAACTTTCAGGTCCGGAGCAACAACTGAAAATAAGGCAGTAGGACGCTGGCAACAATGGAGTAGCCCAGAAACTTCTCTGAGATCACCAGGAAGCATGCATGTGGGCAACAAGGAGCACTTTCCAGATCCTTGTACAGTTAAAGCTATAGTGCAAGCCTCAGGTGCTCAGTGGCCAACAGGACGTATAAACTCAGGTGAATATGGTGGCAAACAAGGTGATGTAAACCCAGGTTGTAAGAAAACAGAAAAGAGGGAAAGCTGAGAGTGACAGTAAGCTATCTTATGCCTCAGGAAGAGAGGCCAATGGACCCTCAAAAAAAACAGTTACTGTCGAGTCAACTCCGAACCATGGTGACTGATGTGAGTCAGAGTAGAACTGTACTCCACAGGGTTTTCGATGGCTGAGTTTTCAGAAGTAGATCACCAGGCTTTTCTTCCAAGGAGCTTCTGGGTAGACTCGAACCTCCGACCCTTAAGATTAGCAGCCTGGTAGGTTAACCTTTTGCACTGCTCAGGAACTTCAAAGGAACCCTTAGCTCCAGCCAATGGTTTCCTCACTTATTCAAGGGATGTAAAATCACAAAGTTTTTTCATTACTGGGCCAGCATTGCACAGACCAAAGAAAACACATCTGTGTATAGGATGTGACATGCCAACAGCCACTTTGCAGCACCGGAATGCAGGAATCTAACAGGAAGGTGTTTAAACGTGGTTCCAGACTATGACTAAGAACTCTTCCTTAACAAGAAGGTTTATATTTTCTTTAACTGAGCTGAGGTTCAGTTCTGATACAGAACTGATACAGCAACATGTACAAAAGCTCTTGGAAGGGTTTTTATAAAAACAACATTTGGGACAAAAAGATCCAAAAACAAACATACAAAATCACAAGAAGATCATAATCATAAAAAAAAAATTTTTTAATCACACATGAAATCTACTGGCTTAGATGTCTGAACTCGCAAAGTCGTCAGCAGCCACACTTGCTCGTTCATTTCCTTCCCAGCCCCGATCACCTGTTTTCCCACCAAAAGAAGCAAAATCTTCCCTTCAGGAAATTCATCTTCCCCTACGTGCCACCATATAACTAGAACAGAGCCAACAATGTCTGTCCCCACATGCCAGAAGTGGGCCACAGCCGGCTCTGGGCAGTCAGCATGCCTGATTCCACCAGTCACAGGTTTGGATGAAACATAACCCAAGCTGACCAATAACAGCAAGTCCTGCATTTCTGAAGAAATTGTCTGGGAGCATTTGCTGTGAAGACGTAAGCTCTGGAAGGGGTTTTTCACTCTACCACCACAAGAAGATGGCCTAGAGCTCCTTATGAATTGAAACTAATACCACAAAAGGCAGACTGGACAAATGGTACAACTAACGGACTCAGCCCCTGCACTGGCCCTCACCTGAAGACATACCCGTAACTCTGGACATGAAGGTGCGTCAGCCAATACATCCCTGTTATTGCTTAAGTCCAGTTTCAGTTGAATTGTTGTTGCCTACAAATGAGAAAGTCTGCGTACATCAGCTTCATCTAGAAGAGTACTACAGAAACTTTAGGCAACATCTTTACACTACACTTGGTTTTTATCTGATGACATTAGTGAAGTGTGTGCCATTTGTTCTGATTTCTGTCCTTAAACCTACTGTGGTCACCTGTATCCTTTAACTGACTTTGGCTAGAGGGAAAAAAAAAAGTGTTCTTTATCCATTAATACAGAAAATATCTGTAATGTCAAGCTATAACATTACACAAATGACCAATATAACAAATTACTCCACCCCACACCCCAAAAACAACATGGGATTTCCTTTTGGGTAAACAGCGCTGTGAGGGTGTGTGTCTGGGTGGGAGAAAACCAGGGCTGTGTGGTATTCAATAACAAAAGCCACCTCTTTCATCTGCTCACCTTATTTTCTGTAAGATACCAATAGCATGTGGGTTTCAATTTCGTGACAGGACATGACCCAAAAAGAACTGCTTTAACAAAACTCACACCCGCAAAGAGTCCCAAAGGCCACTTTTCGAAATGCTTTAACCATTTCATAGCACTGCTTGTAAAACACGATTAAATGTTGCAGGCATGTATTGTAAACCTTCTTTGTAAACCAGCTACAGGAAGAAAACAAATTATTGCACACAATAACCAGTTCCCCAAAGCAGTCTCGGAGTTTGAAGGGACAGTGAGAAGTTACTCAAGGTGTAATTCTCTGCCTCCAAACACTTGGGGAATGAGCGCGGAAGAGGTGTTAGAAAAACAGACCTATCTCAACAACAATACAATATATTGTTCTCTTTGAAAACCTTATGAGATTGCCTGGGACTTTTGAAGGCCCCCTTGTGTAATTATATGGCTTCGCTCACAGCCATAGTCAGAGTTAAGATCTCTGTCTCCTACCCCCAGGCATTACTTTCAGTGCTTGGGGACCTGCAATGCAGGACTTCAGACCAGAGGGTCACCTTGTTGTTCTACTATCAGCCTCCAGGTGGCACCACCAGCCGTAACCCACATGGTGTTCAGCAAGTCAGAGGAAGCCTATAGCTGTATCTCTTCCGCCACCCCTTTCAAACTCCATACCATTTGATGAGCTGCTAAAACCCCCAAAAGTGCATGACACAGTCCTGTCGGCTTACTTTCCTATCATCCCATTTCCTCACATTAAAAAATGCTAAAAAAGACATGGTTTTTTATAGTCTCCATACAAAACCAAAACCCAAACTCATTGCCACAGAGTTGATTCCGGCTCAAAGCAACCCTATAGTACAAAGGAGAACAGCCTCATAGAGTTTCCAAGGAGCAGCTGGTGAATGCCAACTGCCCACCTTCTGGATAGCCGACTTCATGTTACTTAATTCCCTGAACTTTCCTTTTCTACACTAAAAGATTCCCTACGGTTAACTTGCTGCTTTTTTCAAGCTGTTAATTATTTATGTTCTCTTTTAATCCATTAGTTTTCTGAAGGAATACCAGCTCTCTGTGATATCTTACTGACTGAAATGAAAATTTAATCCTCTTTTTGTTTGTAAAGTTAAAGCCAATTTCAAATTCATCTTCTTGTTCAGGGAACATGACATCATAAAAATTTTCAAAGCCGTGACCAAGTATATTTTCTTATCCAGTTGATATTACGAAAGTAGCTAGGTGAATGACATGGAAAATGCTATTTTTTTAAAAAAGGAAAACCAACATTTCCATCAGTGCCAATCAAAAGAAGAGCCCCTTAAGTATCTGCAAAGTTACATTCAGAATATCCTGGTTAATAACTGATAAAGCACTGAGGAATATTGAATACCTACATGGAAAAGAATAAAAAGAAAAGCAATCTATGGTACATCAAATAATGAGGTAACACTAAAACCCTTGTAAAGCAATAACCCAAACTCACCTTCCTTCCTGCCAAACCTGCTTCTCTCCTGGGACTTCCCTTTGTTGCTGATACAATGACTCTCCCAGGATTGAAGGCTTGGCAGGCTGTCCTTCTGGTCCCAGACCGGGCACAGTGATTTCCCCTCTGCAGTGGTTCCCAATCACCCACTGTTTCTCCTCTAACTTCAGATCCTCATGACCTAAAACGACTGCAGTCACCCACTGACTGCTTTCATGTCACCCACTTTCTCCTCTAATCCGATGGGCAACGACCCTGCCAGATTTCCTGAACACTGCTGGATTTACAGCGCCTCTCCTTAGAGCCCTTGTGGTGCGGTGGTTAAGAGCTTGGCTGCTAACCAAAAGGTCAGCAGTTCGAATCCACCAGCCGCTCCTTGGAAACCCTATAGGGCAGTTCTAGTCTGTCCCATAGGATCGCTATCAGTCGGAATCGACTCAGTAGCAACGGGTTTGGTTTGGTTTTTCCTTGCATAACCTTCATGAACTCTCCACTGCTCACTTATTAAAGTCCTTGAGACCATCCAAGATATAGTCTCAACCTTTGCTGAGCCTTTTCCTCACATACTCCAAGCGCTCACACATACTTCCTGCACCCCAAGCATCTGTGTTGTCCCCCAGCCACGTAGTCATTTCTCATCACTTCTCAGATGCATCCCTCGACCCCACCTCAGTCAGGACACGGCACCTCCTCAATTTCCCCTCATTCTCACTGTACACAGTAAATCAGTATCACTGAAGCTTCTGTACATATGCCTTATCACCTCTTCTGCACTGAAACCTTCAAAAGGTAACAAGAACATTCTCTAGGATGGGAGCTATGCAGGCAGCCCTTAACCAACAAATACTGCTGTTAAAATTTTTCTTAAATACCTATCCAAAAAAAGATTCACATGACAAAGAAAAGAGAATTCCTCCAAAGAACCTTCTCCTTAGGAGTAACAACAGAATTTGTAAAATGTGTTCTGAGTTTGGAAAATGTAATACTCGTAAGAAATGGATCATAATGACTCAAGTGAAAAAAAAAAAAAGACATGAACTTCAGTGACTAAAAAGAAACAAGACAACATTTAAAAGTTCTTTTTTAGGGATTCCCCTCATGAATTACTTCATAATATAGATCACACCTCACAACTGAAAGGTAAAATGAACCACATGTTGATCCATTACCACTGTGTAGTCAATAGAAAGGCAGAAGGCCAAAAAGATCAGCAAGTGGTGACAACCCATCGCTGTTGAGTTGATTCTGACTCATAGCGACCCTACAGGACAGAGTAGAACAGTCCCATAGGGTTTCCAAGGAGCAGCTTGTGGATTCGAACTGCCAACCTTTGGTTAGCAGCCATAGCTCACCGTAGCTCTTAACCACTGTGCCACCAGGGCACCCCAAAGATTAGACAAGCCTATAAAACAAACAATAACACACGTGAGAAATGTGCTTCTTAGTTCAATCAAGTATATGAGTCCAACTGGGCAATACCTGCTCAAAAGCAAAGATGAAGAGGCAGGGAGAGACAGGAACACTATAAGAATGGACACAGGGAATCCAGGGAACCCAGGGTGTAAAGGGAAAGGAGGAGAGCGTTGATATATTGAGGGGACTGCAACCAGTGTCACAAAACAATTTGTGTATAAATTTTTGAATGAGAAACTAATTTGCACTGTAAACTTTCACCTAAAGCACAATAAAACTTAAAAAAAAAAAATCTTCAATAATGAAACTGTTTTGAGCTGAGAGCATCCTGAGTTCACATTCTAAGGGTTGCAAGCTCCAAGCAGAGGGCCGGGCACAGTGGTGCACACCCTGAGCAATGGCACACAAACTCAAATGAACGCAAACATGGAATGACTGGTCTGTTGTCTCCTCTGTAGCCACTGTTCCAGTCTGACACTTTCATTTTAACAAGTGTGTAAGCAAGAGTTGGGACACCAAAATCTAACTGTGCAGCTTTGGGCAAGACCATAACTTCTCCGTGCCTCGATTTCTCCATCTGTAAGGGGAGGAATCCTCTGTACCTCAAAAACTTAAACAATAAAAGTTCTCAGACCCACACCCGGTGGTGGCTGCCTAAGCCACCATTCCTTCCTTGTTAGCTACAAAAGGCTTCCATGTCACTTTCAAAAGTCAAACTTTAAGAATGTTAAACATTAAAAATGATGAACTGCTTGGTACCTGCGTTCAGTAAAATCAAAAGCATGATTTGTATGGATAGGACAGTCGGCTACAAGAAGATTTTCTCTCTCAATTAATAAATCATAGGGAAAATCAGCTTTAATTTTTATTTTGCACATACTCCATGAGAGTCCTAATATGTCATTTCCTAAATAAAAAGTACGGTGATGGCCAAGGTAAGGGAAAAATAAGTTCATCTCACTTCTTCCCACTTCCCACAAGTGTTGGGTTACTGCAATACTGGGTTAGTGATGACGTTCAATTTCCGCGAACATCAACAAAACGTACTCTGAAAAGCATCAGTGAAGAAGATGAGAAAGAAGTGGCTTGTGGAAATTCAAAAGGAACTTGTGCTTGAAGAAAAAAAGAGAAAAAAAAAGATAACCAGGACGCGTAGGGAAGAAAGTTGTATTTTCACAATAAATAAACTTCCACGAGATACCAGGTAGCCGCAAGCTCATTCTCAACAGGAAGAACAAGATAGTTCGATTTCACGATTACAAGGTTGGCTCTGAGGATTTCAAAAAGGAAAGAATAGAACACTAACAACAGAATATCTCAGCACTTTCAGATCTGGCATGCCCCATACAAACACTGGACTTCAAAGATTTAGAAGAACAGTTGCTTGTATTTCTCAGATTTGTCTGTAGCCCCAAAGTGAACCCAGGAACTAAACAGAAATTTGCCTACCTAAAAGAAAAAAAAAACTTTACCAGTAATCTTTCACTCTAGTCTTCCTTCACACCAGGTTAACATCCTTCACCCTCTCAGCTTGCAGTCACGTCCATCCTTCTAAATTCTCTCCATTGCAGCCTCCCTGGCCCCGGCCATACTTTGTGTAAATCTTGATCATAACCTCTCACTTGTCTGACTTTCTCCAAGTGTATTCTCTAGTGTGTCCCGTCCAACAATAATGCACATAAATCTAGCACTACTAGGATGAAAGTTAACACTGGCTCTTAACCAAAATGCAAAATACAAAGTGTAAGAAAGATTTGGGTTTTTATCCTCTTATTTATAAACTGATACATGTAAAAGGTCTTCTTTTGCAAAAAAAAAAAATAATAATTATACTACATGGATTCAGAACACCAGAATATCTGAAACAAATCGCCTCTATCATCATGAGCATTCTTACACTTTTCCAAAAATTCCCTTAGGCTCTCCCCAAATTCCCTCTAGCTAGACCTTTCTCATTTAGTCTTTTCAGGGAATTTCTCTCTAAAAGCTAATGTCAAAAGGGATTCATTTCTGTTTCTGAGGAGGTTCCTTCTGACCTTGTTCTCATCATCTGGAAAACAGCTAAGTAACTGTTTATTTGCACTCAATACTTTTGGGAAAGCTACATAGCTAAGGTCACCGTGACCACAGAACAACAGATGAAAAGGATAAAACACTCGACAGCAAGAAGAATGCATCCCACCCTTAAAAGAATTTAAGTGAACCAGTAAAAAGTTGAAGACGAACAAAATAAACAGATATAGCCTTCATCTTTTATGAATGTCCTTCTTCCCCAATATAAACACCGTGGAGTGTTTATATATTCAGTGCAAGGAACAGTATCACTGGTACATTTGAAACGCCTCTGAAGAAAGGAAAAAGCTAAAATAACATCTAATTCTGAATACATTGCAGTGTGGTGTAATAGAATTATTAATTCTAGTATTAATTATTACGAATAATTACTAACAAATATAACAATTTATTTCTATAAAATAACTATTGATAAAATCAAGAATTATTAGGATAATAATAATTAGACACCAAAGCACCCACCTAGCCAATGATGTGTTAGAAGCAACCAGACCCTAATCCGGACCAGTGCAAATTTAGAACCTCTGAAAATATGCTAGGGATTTGAGCTCATATTCTCTTTCATAAAAGACAGCCTTATAAAAGAAAGACAACCTTACAAAGCCAATGGATGACGCGGACGAGACTGCCTCCTTAAGAGGCAGCGACTTTTTGTTACGTCCCCACCATGCGAGGTTCTGTCAGACACTCAGTAAATGCCTGGTGGCTAACTGGCAGAACGAATATTGAACCAAATAATTTAAATGCACATTGTAGGGTTCCTCTACATACCATCCGCTAACTGCTAAGGACCTGTTTCGATGCACTGACCTATGTGGGGAAAAGTGACAAACATATTGTAGCTCGACTCTCATAACAAGGAGCCCTGGTTGCGTAGTAGTTAAGTGCACCGCTGCTAATGGAAAGGGTGGTGGTTCAAACCCACACAGCAGCTCTGTGGGAGAAAGACCTGGTAATGTGTTTCTGTAAAGATTAAAGCTTAGAAAACCCTATGGGGCAGCTCTACTCTGTCACATGGGGTCACTATGAGTCAAAAGTGACTCAACGGCACCTAACAACAAAAAAATTCATAACTTAGAAAAACAGATACAATATATTATTCAATTAAAAAAACACACATACAAATTATAAAATAATATGCACAATATAATAACACTTTTAAGTGAAGGTACATATATTTAGAAAAACATTTAAAACATGTGCCAAAACTATAAATATTAATTATCTCTCTACCTAATGGATAGCTCCCTCTTCTATTTCCAGATTTTTCTACAATGAGCATAAAAGAATAAAGATGATAAAAAATATACTTTACCAGACTACATTAAATCACATCTTTTTTTGTTTGTTAGTAGGTATCTTAGCAGGGATACGAACTACAGTAATTCTTTTTAAATTATAACTTCAAAAGGCTGATAAGTGTCAGCAGTAACATACTGAAGAAATATGTGTCTTATCTATCTTTATAAGACCACTTATAGTTTTAAGTCATAATCTCTTCAAGGCACAAACACTGACTTTCGTGAAGTCATTATGACAGAGACTACATCTTCAGTACTTAAGAAAACCATCAGGCATGACAACGGACAAATGATAATCTCTCCTCTGAAAAATACTGGCAAATCTGAGTCGCTTAAAGAAAACATACCTAAGACTTTAAAAGAACTTCCTAAGGAGACTTTCAAACAGTTAAACTATCTGCAAACCACAGTTTCATCGACGTCAATACGCGACATTTTAAAACCACACGAAAAAGAAAGGAAACTGTTAGTAAGCCAGCAGACCTGCAATGGGGCTGCTACCGCTGTGGGCAACCCAATAGCTCACACTTCTCTGAAGACTGGAGCTAGGTCTGCTGAGGCTGAGAAAACACAGACCCAGGTATGTCTTTTTAAATACTTACTACATTCAAATGCCTTTCCATCTAAGGCTAATCTATGATCTTCAGTATTTAGACCATGCAAGGACAAAATGTCAGCAGGTAAGAAGGATGCTGTGTAAGAGGGCACTACGCAATTATTAAACTCCAAGTCCATCCTAGCTGTGAACTCCACTATAATTTCTTCTATCTGATGAGCTCATCCATCCCTCTCAAAAAGACAGCTTAATTCACACAAGGCTGAATACTGAGCATGGCTCTATTCAGTAACTCAATTTTATAACTGAATGGATAAGCGCCATGTTGCAGGTCTTCGCAACAGGGCACAACAAGTCTTAATACGATTCTTCTCTACAAACATTACGACGGGTAATTTCAAGAAAATTCCACTGACTTACACAAGAAAATCTAGTGAGTTTATTTATGTTCTAAGCCATGGGCACTGTATTCAAACTAAGGAGACACACTTGAAATATTTTCTTGATTCTGCTGAGGTACTTCTGGGTACCTCAAATTTCCAGTGGTTAATAATTAGCTGACAAAATATTTATCACACATGGAACCCTGGTGGCACAGTGGTTAAGCACTTGGCTGCTAACCCAAAGGTCGGCGGTTCGAACCCATCAGCCATTCCATGGGAGAAAGATCCGGCAGTCTGCTTCCGTAAAGATAACAGCCTTGGAAATCCTATGGGGCAGCTCTGCTCTGTCCTATAGGGTCATTGTGAGTTGGAATTGACTCAATGGCAACGGTTTGGTTTGTTTGTTTTTAGTTCTCAAATTTGTGATAGGGAATATAGGATGTTATTATGGGAAGGTAGGATGTAATAATAGAATCATTAAACCTCTAATCAATATAGCCAGAAATTTTAAGTAAGCAGACTTGTTTTTCACCACAATCTAAACTGAGGTTCATGAAAGCAACTGTGAGGTGCTGTGTGATTCTCAATCTCCTACTGAATAAATATTGTTCCACTGTAACTGTTTTTAAGTAAGTTACCCAGGTATGGTATATACAGTCAGTTCTAGTTACAGAGATTAATTGATAGAAAAAAAAATTATTTAATCCTTCTGTTTACCATACAGTCATTGATAAAATAAGACTTCATTGTATAAATGTATGGTCAGCAGGGGCACATAAAGAAACATACTATTATGTTATTATTATTATGCAACATTTGAAATGCAAGCACCTAAGCCAAAATCCTAGCAACTTGTAAAGGAATAATGAGCAGAGGTGGGAGACAAGATCAATGACAACAAAACTAGTTTTTGACGCAAGGAAAAAAAAAAGGTGCATTCAAAATTCCAAGGTACAAATGAACGGTCACTATAAAAAATTAGAATCGTAAGGGGGTCAGTGAAGCCTAGAATAGGCTTCAGACATGAAGAGTTTCCTTCAGGCCTGTAGCATGGGTAGGATTCAGGCACAGGCAGAGAGGCTAAGAAACGATCAACAAGATCAGATCCAAGTTCTGCTCCAACAAGCTGTAAAATCTGGAGCAACACACAAGTACTAGTCCTCAGTCTCACCAGTGAATTGAAGATTAGACTAGATGCTATCAATAGAGGTTCCGTCCATCTTTAAAGTCCTATGATCCTAAAATTGTACCACAAGCAAAAGTAATACCAAAGACAGACAGAAAGGGACTGGCCACAGAACAGGAGAGAGATCCCATGAATCTAAAGTAGAGCTGGAATTAAGAGACAACGGGAGTATGTAACCAATGTCACTGAACAACTTGTGAAGAAACTGTTGAATGGGAACCTCAACTGCTGTGTAAACCATCACTGAAAACACAATAAAATATTATTTTTAAAGAAAGAAAAACTGAGAGAGAGACAGACAATATGGAAGGTAGGGAGGGTCGCAGGAATGGTGAAAGTAAAGTAGGTTTACTTATATGATAGGAGCTAGGTTTGTTTTGGAGCCCTGGTGGCGCAGTGGTTAAGAGCTTGACGGTTAACCAAAAGGTTGGCAGTTCGAATCCACCAGCCACTCCTTAAAAACCCTATGGGGCAGTTCTACTCTGTACTATAGGGTCACTATGAGTCAGAATAGACTCGATGGCAATGGGTTTTGTTTTGTTTTTAATATATATCAAATTTTTTCCTGCAAAAATACAAATATAGCCATCTGGTCTTTAAGACAAAAGAAAGTCATTGAATGTGCCTAAGAAGGGTACATACCACGAAGCAGCACCAGAAATGAGAACCAGTGGCTCTAGGAGTACAACTGAACTGGACCAAGGGAGCCCAGCTAGTTTAACTAGGGCTTCTGAGCCCACCCACTGCTCAAAACAGGGAGGGCACCCGAGAAGGTTTCAGTGTCATTGTCCATGTTGACTACAATGGTTCTAAGAGTATTTCTTACGCTTCCGGCCTTTTAAATGTCCCAAAAACACACAGTGAAAAAGAAAAAGAAAAAACCACTCAGAGTGCTAAAGTTAGATGTTTTGATACTAAGATAACTAAGCGTCTATTTAAGGATTTTGCAACCAATGAACATACACAAGTGTTCTAGAGGCCTTCAAAAGACATCTTTGGTCAAACTACTCAAGAACACGAACAGAAAACATCTGTATCAACAGTTACCCACAGAAACACTACTCAAGCCACAAAGCTCACTAAAAAGGCCTAGTAGCTGTGTTTTAAAACGTAAAAAGAAACAGGTGAAATTCATTTGAATAGTATATTTAACCTAGTATAACAACAACAAAAAAAAAAATACCACTTCGACATGGACTCAATATAAGAAATACTGATAAAATATTTTACTAATTTTTGTCTATTTGCATAAGCATAGCTATCTATCATATTATTTTTAATAACAGTTTGTACTAAATTTTCAAAATCTAGCATGCATTTTGCATTTATACCACATCTCAGTTTGGACTAGACACATTCCAAGGGCTCAATAGCCACATGTGGCTACAGGCCACCATATTGGACATGACCAGCTTACACCACTACGAAACCCGGCGGGGATAATGAAAAGGGAGATAATAAGCATCAATTCAACACTAGATCCCAATCCTTTAACTCTTTTTGCTAAAAAGAAAAACGAAATTTCGTTTGCAAAAATGTTCCAATAAGTTGCACAAGAAAGGGTCCACTTTTTGATAAGCTTTTTTTTTTTATTTTAGTACAATTTCCTGTCACCCCTTAGCTCCCCTCTCAGCCTAGATCCTTCCAGAATGAGAAACTTTATGAGTCTATGAAAAAAGAAAACCAGAAAGCCTCATTGAAAGCTCTTCGAAGAGGCTCAGCCACAAGCAAACCACTTTATCCTGGTTTGCTCTCTCTACTTCTGAGAATTTCAGCTCTTTTACCTCCTCTGTAAACCTTCCAACCCAACTGGTAACAAGAAAAGATACCACAACACAAATATGTATGGTCAAAAATACCCCTTTGAGAAGCAAACCCACATGGGATTTCCTGAAAGTCACAAAATCAGACAATGGAAAACCCAAGCGTCCTCATATTCTAGGATGTTCTCATAGTCCAGTAAATTTACCAATAAAATTCAACCTAAGAACTAGTACCCAAACCCAAAAAACCAAACCCACTGCCGCTGAGTTGATACCGACTCACAGCAACCCTACAGGACAGAGTAGAACTGCCCCATAGGGTTTCCAAGGAATGGTTGGTGTATTCGAACTACCGACCTTCCGGTTAGCAGTCTAACGCTTAATCACTGCACCACCAGGGCTCCAGAAGAACTAGAAGAACTAAAAGAACCCGTAAATACAGACTATGGTATTGTGAGTGCGAATGTGTTTTAAATGGTTTCTAACTTTAATTACTAACCTCCCCACCCCTCCTCGTTTTCCTCAAACAGATTCTTTGGATTTTCTTTACTAAGTCATCCTTAACTTACCTCAAAATGACAAACAGTTCCTTCTCCTGCACGGTTTACAAAAACCTGGAGCCATTCACGTATTTTTTTTATTTGGTTTTCCTTGTGGGAATTATTGGAAGCTGTTTTGCAGCCTGGGCCTTCTTGCAGAAAAACACGAACCACAGGTGTGTGAGCATATACTTAATTAATCTGCTTACGGCCGATTTCCTGCTCACTCTGGCATTACCACTGAAAATTGTTGTTGACTTGGGCGTGGCACCCTGGAAGATGAGGATATTCCACTGCCAAGTAACAGCCTGCCTCATCTACATTAACATGTACTTATCGATTATCTTCCTAGCATTCATCAGCATTGATCGCTATCTTCAGCTGATACACAGCTACAAGATTTATCGGATACAAGAACCTGGATTTGCCAAAATGTTATCAACCGTCGTGTGGCTAATGGTTCTCCTTATAATGGTGCCAAATATGATGATCCCCATCAAAGACATCAAGGAAAACCCAAACGTGGGCTGCATGGACTTCAAAACAAACTTTGGGAAAAACTGGCACTTGCTGACTAATTTCCTATGCGTGGCGATATTTTTAAATTTCTCGGCCATCATTTTAATACCCAACTGCCTTGTAATTCGACAACTCTACAGAAACAAAGATAATGAAAGTTATCCCAACGTGAAAAGGGCACTCATCAACATACTTCTAGTGACGACAGGCTACATCGTATGTTTTGTTCCTTACCACGCTGTCCGGATCCCGTACACCCTCAGCCAGGTGGAAGTCATATTCGACTGCTCCACCAGGAATTTACTCTTCAAAGCTAAAGAGGCTACGCTGCTCCTGGCTGTGTCGAACCTGTGTTTTGATCCCATTCTGTACTATCACCTCTCGAGAGCATTCCGCTTAAAGGTCACTGAGACCTTTACCTCACAAAAGGAGACCAGGACCCAAACAGAAAAACCAAGATGTGAAAACAATGCATAAAATGTGGAATCTTTCAGATGTTACGGCTTCTTGACAATAAGTTTGAAACTACTGGGATAGAGAGAAAACACATCAATCAGTAAGGAGAAACACAGACAGCTAACAAATGGGGCCTGGTTTGTTTAGAAACCTTGTTTCTAAATGCAATACTAGCCTGTACTCTTGTGATTGTTGGTATTCCTAACCCAAATATTTGTACAAAAGACTAAAAAGTCTTGTTGAACCAATAAAAAAAAAAACAAAAAACCTGCAATATTCTTGAAATCCAAATGAGATCTGTACTAGAGACTCAGAGGTCTTCCTGAAGTATTCATTTAAATGCCTAGAACTGACTTTTTGATAAAAATATGCAGAACGACTTCTATGGAAGTCGTCAGAAAGCCCTGGAGCAACACAGCTTTAGAAGCTTTTGAATAACTTTATTTAAAAGAAAAGAAAAAACAAAACAAAACCTGGCTGATTTTAACATGAAACTACCTGTGCCTAATTTTAACCCATCACTTCAAAGATGGTAACCTTTCGGCTCACTATTCTCCTGTTTCACATCTAATCTTTTCTCTAACACAAAAACTAAAAAAACTGTTATTTATAAAAAGACTTGGAAATACAAAGATGATCTTTAATGTACTGTATATACACATATTTTCTCTATATGTTAAAAATAAAGGTTTTCCACCAGTTGTTGTTAGTTGCTGCCCAGGGATTTCCAGCTCACGGCGCCCCCATGTGTGCAGAGTAGAACTGCTCCATGGGGTTTTCAGTGGCTGTGACCTTCTGGAAGCAGATCGCCAGACATCTTCCAAGTGCCCTCTGGGTGGGTGCCACCCACCAACCTTTCAGCTAGTTATGGCGCACTTACCCGTTTGTGCCACCCAGAGACCCCTCTTCTACGATGGGTAAGACAAACCTGGTGACTGCTTATTTTACAGTAACATGAAACAGATGGGAGCCCTGGTGGCGCAGTGGTTAACAGCTTGGCTGCGAACCAAAAGGCTGGCAGTTCAACACCACCAGGTGCTCCTTGGAAACCCTGTGGGGCAGTTCTACCCTGTCCTACAGAGTCACTATGAGTCAGAATCGACTCGACGGCAATGGGTTTGGTTTTATGACACAGATAGCCTTGTAACATTTTCAGGAGAAGCTTTTAAATTATACTAACTATTGAAACTATTTTTGAAATTCACATCAAAGGTACAAAAAAGTAGCACCAGTCAGAGGTCTTAAAATAGACACATCAATTCTATATAGCCAGGCCATATTAGAAATGCAGCATGACTGGGTCAACTAGTGCCACTCACATCCAGAAAAGACGAGCCTGACTCCCATGTGGGGTCAGCATCTAAAGTACAGGTGACTCCAGCTTTCAGGATCATACACCTTCGATCAAATTCTCCCCACTACCAGCGATGGGGCAAGATCCAACGTCACTGTTGTTATCTGAGTCAGCCCAGCAAGGTGACCCGTGCACAACGGGATCATACCATTGTGCTCCATAGCATTTTCACTGGCTGACTTTCAGAAGTAGATCATCAGCCCTTTCTTCCTAGTCCATCTTAGTCTGGAAGTTCCATTGAAATCTATTCAGCATCAAAGCAACACATAAGCCTCCACTGACAGACAGGTGCACTGGCCAGGAACTGAAACCGGGTCTTCCACATGGAGGTGAGAATTTTACGGCTGAACCACCACTGCCCCTAAAGAGTCACTAACCTAAAAAACACACACACTCACACACACACAGCCCAAACCCACTGCCGTCGAGTTGATTCCAACTCACAGCAACCCTACAGGACAGAGTAGAACTGCCCCATAGGGTTTTCAAGGAGCCGCTGGTGGATTCGAACTGCCGACCTTTTGGCTAGCAGCTGAGCTCTTCACCACCACGCCACCAGGGCTCCAAGGATTCACTTGATTGTGTTAAATTAAAAGACTTAATAGGAGAAGAAAATTGGCAAAGTTTAAGTAAGCATATAGGAGACCTTGTGTTAGTTTTTTTTTAATTTCATTAGTAAAAGCCCACATTCGAACAACTGATAACACATTTGCATAAGCTGCCAAAATTAAGAAATGGTGTTCTGGAGCTAAGAAAACGCATCTAATTCCCAACTCATTTTTAGCTCTGCATTGATAAGAATTATTTTCTTTAGTTTTAACTGAAGAAAACTCCTGCCGTCAGTTTCCCAAATATATTCCAAGACCAAAGAGAACAAACAATCAAATGTACAAAGTGCCTATTACCAAACCTAAAACATGGTAAGTGCTGGACAAATTCTACCTAGCCAGTAGTGATGGTAGGGACCTCCATCAGCCCTGAATAGCAACATCACATATCTGACACAGAGTAGGAATGACTTACCTAAGTTGTAGGCTGATGGAATGCCTGTACCCTAGAACCTTTGCTTGCTGGGAGTCTATTCCACATGTTTTACTGATGGGCAGATCAAGGCATTGTTTACTCAACAGTATACACGAAGCTGTTTCATTTTTCTGAATCCTTTGGTCAAGTCCTCTCTCCTTGGCCTTGACTCACTAGGGCCACATATTAGGGGCAGGGAGAGAGAGCATTTGCTCTTCACCATATTCTCCTCACAGGCATGATAGGTTAGAGTCAAGACTTCCCCTTTCAATAAAGACAACAGTCAGTCTATATGGCATTCCTAATGACAATGTTCTATCAGTATATCCTTTTACTCCCTCATTATTAATGGTTTAGTCTGAATTACATTCACATAAAGTGGCAAGGGGGTTAGAAAGCTGTTAAAAATTTGCATCTTACAATATCAATTGTCTAGCAGCTCTTTTCATGACTGCACCACACTCAAATTATGTCATAATTCTTCCTGAGACCTGGAAACATTTAAAAACTGCTGATCTATTCAGCCAGTGATAAACAAGCAAGAATTTTGGCAAGTTTCGAGATAGTTTTAGAGAGCCTTAGGTACAGAAGCAACAAAAAAGGGGTTCTTAATTGTACTTAATTGTACGAAGAGAAAAATATGGATTCACTGATTCTGAAATCATTTGGAGAGTTTTCTGAAATACCAAAAATTAAGAAAATATTTAAGTTGCAGACCAAAGACTTCCAGGAAGTAACACAATATCCCTCACAATTACATTTTTGATACATAAAAGCAGCACTCAATTTTTTTAAAAAAATGACTCACTGAAATTACACATTAAATTCCAAGAAAAAAGTTAGTGAACCCAAGAATAAAAATGTTTTTTGGATTTTGGTACAATTTTTATTACTAATATCAAACAACTAATTTTGCTTCCCTTTAGAAGAAAGTATATCACTCTGTTAGGACTCACACACTAAATTTCCTACCAAGCATTTTCCATGTACCAGTTCATAAATTCAACAGGTCCAAATCCAAGTTCATCCTCCGTGCTACCATCTCCACAAAGCTTTACCTAGTTCTCAGCCAGATGCTCTCCCTCCCTCCAGTATCCATTCACTGAGTGTCTACTTTATACCAGGCAGAGAGCTAACAGAAGGGAACCACCAACGTCCAATGGTTCAGCTTCCAGGGGCTCTTGGGTTTTTACTCAACTGCTGCACTTATTTGACTCCTTGTCATTTTACAGATATTTGTCTCTCTTCTATCATATTCATCTTTCCTGTCCCGTGAAATTTCTTACTCATCTGTATAACACCAAAAGTACCTACCACAATATAGCGCATGCAAAAGCCACTCAGTAAATGACTTTCAAATGGTAGGAGGAAAACTGACATTTAGACAACATTGGCAGTGACTCAAGTGCTCTTGATAAAAGGACACTGATATAGAAAATTCCATTTAGCCTAGCAAGCCAATAAATATCACACCACGAAGTTACTTTTCTAGTTCCATTTGGATTGCATCAGTACGTAAGCTAAATGAACAGCATTAGAGCAAAATGAGCAGCAAATGCAAAAACTTGCCTGCAGTCAGATGTTTCAGCCAGGCCAATAGTTGAATAACACGACATTCAACCATCACGTCCTATAAGGTGTCAGTTGAGAAGCAATGACTTACCAGAGGTATAGGAAAATGGGTTGCATACTGCAAGTGACGGAGGAGGCCGTAATTCGATGGAAAAATCAGCTCCCGCGGCTTTTCCCTCTTCATCAACTTCTCACCGTTAACCGACATTCTTCTTCCCAAGGAAGGGTTGGTATTCTCACAGGACTCCCCAGGCATGGGAGAAAAGATCTAAGTCATGTAAAACAAATGGTGACGATTGTAAATGAAAGAGAACCAAATCAAACCACAGAGACACATGCCATAACTTCAAATGCACAAGACACTCATGCAATAATATCCTTTCCTTATTTAACCATTGATCAAAAAATACATATAGACATTTTATAGATTTGCACAAATTCTGAATACAGGTCAGTAGCAATTTGTCAACATCATTCCCCTCCTGAAGATGAAAAAATGACAACATACATAGCTGATGTCACAGCTACGTTACCCTGAAGACCAGAGGTAAAATCAGACTCAGATAGTAGTGTTTTCCTCATGGTGCTACATTGCTGGCAAAAACATACACATTGAAATAACTAATAAAACTAATGAATACTAGGCACAAAAGTTTTAGTCTGTACCATAAACAGAGTGTTTTTTAGAAAACGTTATACACTGAGATTCATGAGGAAGAACACATCATAATTTGACTCAACCATATACAACATGGTAAAACCAGTTGCTGTTGAGTCAATTTCAACTCAGGGTGACCCCATGTGTGTTAGAGTAGAACTATGCTCCATAAGGTTTTCAACGGATAATCTTTTCAGAGCAGACAGCCAGGCCTTTCTTTCAAGATGCCTCTGGGTAGACTTGAACCTCCAACCTTGCAATTAGCAGTCAAGCATGGTAACCATTTACAGCACCTAGGGACTCCAAATAACATGGCAGAACCATGTATAAGAAGACTAGAGCCAGGAAAGGTATTATTTAGAAGCTGAAGACGTATATAGCAAATCAACATGGGCTGTCATGATGAGACTATGCTCCTATATACCAGAGAGATGATGATCTCAAAATGAACAAAACAGTCATGGACAACGAAGAGGACAGGCGTATTATAATTTACAAAGGAGACAACGCAGCCAAAGCTGTGGATGAAGCAAAGTGAAACACTTGCACAAGCTGATAAGTGTGCCTTAGGGTGCAGTGTGGCAGGGTCACACTTATATCACAAGCACATGAGTCATTCCAGTACATGGAGCAAGACACAGAAGGATGAAGACAAGTTGGGGATTAACAGCCAATGAGAATTCGAAGATTGAACCTACTGGAAATTCCGAACCAAAGTCAGTTTTAAAGTCACTCTTGTCTACTTCCTCAAAAATGTTAGTGGTTCCTGAGTCAATGCCCATATGTGCCATAATACTCTGTTCCTGATAATTGCCAGAGAAAGAGAGTCACATTGTAAATTTTGCAGTTCATTAAGACACTGAATGAAGCTAAACCATGACAATAAGTTTTTAAACATCCTATGTACTTTTTTTCCTGTTTTTTTTTTTCTCTGCCAGAAAGGAAGTTTTAAGACATGCATTGTTGTGTAAAGTCACGTTCTTTTCTCGTGATGAAAAAGTTTTAACTTCTACGTTAGTTTAAGGGATGAGTACAGAAACTTCCTGATTAAAAAAACTAACCTGGCCATAAATTCTTCCTTTGAGCTATTCCCAGTCACGTGCTCACCAACTTACTTTTCTTTATTAGAAAAAAAAATCTAAAATTATATCCAAGATATAAGATACCTTGATATCCAAGAATAGAAAAGGGAGAAACACAGAAAAAATGTAAAAACAAGGACAGTAACTTTAGTGTTTGCCCTTGTAACTTCTATTGTAGACAAATTAAGAGACGAAAGTATTTATACTTTTTAACATAATTAGGAAAAAATAATCCTGCTCCATTTGGACAACAAATCTTAAGAGTATAAATTCTGAATACATGTTTGCAATTGTAATGTCAGGTTTTTATTATTACAAGTATAGCCAGCATTTTAAAAAGATCGTAACAGTATATGCTTAATGTCTCACCAAACTAATATGAGGCTTTATCTTTTCAGAAATTATCACACTCTCTCACCATTTTCTACAATTTCCCATCAGCACCTTCACCTTTTGCCTTGAAAATTTCAGAAAGTATCTGAACAATGCCCAAAATATCAGAACTTGCAGAAAATTACATGGCCACTCTCACATCATAAAAGAATTTGTTGAAAAGAGCAATTCCACAACATTTAAGAAATACAAATAAAAACTGAATTAATTGAAAAGAAAATACGATGTGTATGACTAAAACAGTTTTCGGTTACGTTTAAAAGAGTGATATAAGTAATGAATGATACATTGGAAGAAAGATACTGCTAAGAATGAAAACTCAGCGGGGACTTTAGGGCCAAGAAAAGTTCCATTTTGAAGCCCCACGTTCAAGGCAAAATGGAGACTGGAAACATATAAAATTGGAACATATAATGCCAATCCAATGAAAAATTTTATGGCCTATCCAATGTTTTCATTAATAGTTTTGTAATGGCTAAAACAAAATTCTGGAAAACATCAAAAAATGTAAACGTCCCTCGTGAGTAAGGAGTAGAGATAAATGAGCTTTGTGGCAAAAGAATAAAACTTTAAAGCTATTACCCGCCCCCCACCCCCAAAGTATCCACATCAGAATTTACTTTCTTAGGGGGCTGGGCACACCTGCAAGGCCATACCTCCATTTTCACATCATGGTCCTTTGAATAGTGCTCGTCTACGTTTTCTCCCGCTGGCGACCGTGGCCGCGTGGAGGCGCTGACTGACAAGTCCCCTCGAGATATGAGGGTGCACATGTAGGCGTCGTGGGAGAAGACATCGTGGCGGATGAACTCACAGAACAACAGCACCAGGTTCACAAACTCCACCTTTTCACATTCGCTGTTCGGGTCCGCTATCAAGAAACAAATCCAATCGAGAATTTCGTTCCATTGACATGGTGGGGGGAAAAGAAAAATTACAAAGGCTTAACATTTTCACTACTTTTCACGATCAATCTTTTTTTTGGTTGTTACAAAACAAAATTTATTGAAAGATTTACTAAGAGGCACTAAGGTTTTGTGCAGGTTCTAACATGCAGGTTCTGGTTGTCCCATTATAACTGAGAAAGAGTATCCAGTTAAGAGTCTAGCTGTTACCCAAAAGGTTGGCAGTTCAAATCCACCAGCTGCTCCTTGGAAACCCTACGGGGCAGTTCTACTCTGTCCTGTAGGGTCTCTATGAGTCAGAATCCACCCGAAGGCAATGAGTACTAACAGTACCATTGCTTGCTGCTTTACACCTTTCTTCTCCACAAACATCTCCTTCCCCCTTCCACACTTTTCCCCCCATTTCTATGTTCGTTTTTCTGTTGCTTCATCTCTGTCTGGAGATCCTTCCTGCTGTATTTTGTCATATGGAAACCTCAATATTATATCAAGCCTACTTAGCTCACACAAATGAATTTTTTAAAGTATCCACCATAGTATGAATCCAATGGGTGGTTCTTTATTCTCCAGACCCCCATCTCTCCACAAAGACAGAAAAAGAAGTGAAGAAGACATGAACATCCAAGACAGTGCAGACAAGCAGCCAACCATCTTTACAGATTAATCCTTCGTATCAAGGCCCTGGTTATAGTTTTGTTTGCTTTCCCTCCATTCTAAGAGTACAAGTTAGAAATCAGAAATTTAGAGACTATTCTGAATCACAATATACAATGAAACCTTACAAGAACTTAGCTTCTCTATTTTGGCAAGAGAGATCTAAAGGGGGAAATTGTTGTTAGGTGTCATCGAGTCAGTTTGGACTCCTAACAACCCCATGTGACACAGAAGAACTGTCCCATAGGTTTTCTAGGCTGTAACCTTTACGGGAGCAGATGGCCAGGTCTTTCTCCTGCAGAGCCACTGGATGAGTTCGAACTACCAACCTTCTGTTTAGCAGCTAAGTACTTAGCTGTTGCTCTACCAGGCCTTCTTAAAAAGGGGAATTACTTCCGCAGAATAGGATGGAGCAAGGCGACTTTAATTTTTGAAATTACTGGAACTCTGAAATTTTAAACTCTTTTGAATCTTGAAGATGGTCTTTGAATTTAAAATTGTCCAAAAGTCCCCACTGAAAGCATGTGAAAAATTCTGCTCGCGCTAAAAATTCTGCTCACTAAACACACATTATATTCAATGCCAAGAAGTCTACATAAGGGGCAAAAAAAAGGGGTAAGCAGTTCATAAAAACTGTCAATCCCATAGTTAAGATCCTGAAGCAAAGAGCTTTACTTACACAATGAGGGGGCCTGTGTATCTAAAAACCTTAGTAGAACATTCTGGAAAACAGGCAAACTAGATCCAGCAAGAGAGGCTGAAGAAATGGACTCCTTCTCATCTAAGACCTCTGATTCACCACACCTCTTCAGATTAAAAATAAACAAGCACAGTTAATTACAGAGGGCAAACACAGTCACAACGGATCATGAATTTGTGAGTTCTTTTTTGTAATTAACATTTAAGTTCTCAGATAAAACATGTAAAATGAATTGAGACTGCTGTACTTCCTTGAGGGCCATACATCATAGGTGAATACAATTTCTAAACATTGGAAAATGGTACCCCAGAACAATTCAAACGGTTTTAAACAAGACCCCTAAAAAACATTGTTTATGTGAATTATAAACCCTGCAACTACTGCATGAGTACTCGTGGAACGTGTAACATGGTACAGTGAACTATTTGTTGTCTCTATGCCAAATCACTAACCATAATTTGAGGTTGTATTAGTTTCTAAATAGCACATCTTTAACCCTATTCCCCCTGAGAGATACTTGGGCAAGTACCACTGAATTTGATTCTTTTGTGTCTGCATGTTTTTTTCAGGTAAGCGTTGTTTGCATGTGTGTTTGGGGCAGTGCTGTGTCAAACGAGAAAGCTAACTTAATTCCTCCATAAGATGCTTTCACTTATTCATCAAACGTTCATCAGTGAGATCTCTCAGAGCGTCTGGGAAGCTCCACAAATCATGGAATACGTCTAGAAGCCGTGTAACGTCTACATTCTTAAAGACAGAACTTGCTAGAACACGAGAAATAGTTTTAGAAGCAATCGGAGCCTCATTTTCTATTCTTTTTTGACATCTCTTTGATCTTTCCCATTTTCATTGTCTACTCTTTAATATGAAGCCCTGGTGGCATGGAGGTTAAGAGCGTTAAAATTCAACCCAAAACTATGTTGTTGTAGATTATGTGCATTTTTTGCGTTTGTGTGTGTATGCTGTGTGTGTGTGCATAGCTGAACATCACAAAGGGAGATTTCTTGTTCTAAATCGGATGTTAAAGTTTAATTTTAAAAGATTCATTTTTAAATTAGTCCAGAATATGAGTTACTGATACTTCAAAATTAGAGAGATCCTACCATGGAATCCTTATGTGAATTTGAACATTTTTCCCTTTACATCCTCAAGAGAAAAAAAAAAGCATAACAAGGATAAGGAAGAAAGCATCTTCCCGAAAACAGTATTTTTAAGGAATGGTATACAACACTGTAGAAAGAAAAATGAACCTACCTCTGCCTCAACTTCTGCTTGCCTCTTCTCCAAGAGTTTTGCCACGGCCATGGCCCTGTGTTTGCCTGACCGCTTACAGCTCACAGCCCATTCACACAACAGCGTCACCACCGCTTCATCGTTGGCAGCAACCTAGTAACCAAGAGAAGTGAGTACCAGGCTTACTCAATCAAAATGTTCACCAATCGAGAGTAAGAAAGTACACCACCAAGTTTCTAAAGCTTTAATGCTTTATTCACATATTTCATGACAATCATGTTAAAAAGTGCTGCAAAATTCTTTTTCACCTGAAGTATAAAGAGTTAAAATTTTAGTTATAGGTAAAGATATCACTTACTCAGAATGGCTGAATCTGTGACAATTCCAAGAGAACTGGAGTTCCATTGTAATATGCCTTCATGTACCCAGGGGTGATAACCTAGCCACGTCTATCTTCCAGAACTCAATTTCAAAACCAAACCAAAAGGGAAGAGTCCACTGAACAGTTGTTACAAAGCCCAAGCACTTCAGTCCACAGTGGATACTGTTGGGCCCTCACTCCCATCAGCACTCGACTCATAATCTTAACAAGCCCAGTTATCAAATGACTGAGTCCAACAAGAAATGAGAAGGAAATGGACAAGAGGCAGGAACACTCATAAAAGACCCATTAGAAACAACATCCATGAAAAATGACAGCCAAGCATCAAAAAGAAACAAAAATGAAAAGCAGACAGAATCCACAAGGGACAGAAGCCTGGCCTATGTAGGGCTCAGTAGAACTATCAGCTATAGTTGTCGTGGCCCAGAAATGCGCATGACAGACGGAACAAGAAGGCAAAGAAGGGTTATACGGGCAGAAGAAACAAGAATCTGAGGTAACAGTGGGGTGCCAGGACAGCAGGAGGATCGTCCTTCTATGCAACCTGGCCTTTCCTCTTGGAGGATCAATGCCAACCAGTAGGACATCAACTATAAGGTTTTAATATTTGCCCACTTGTATGTCAGAAAAACTAGATAATCAGAGTGTTAGTACTTTTTAGGGTCTACAAATTCAATTAAGATTATGATAGCTATGAGCACGCACGCAGAAGACTATATACCCAAACACATATAAAATCTCACATATTACAGCATAAGCGGAAAAACATACCTTGCTCATGGATTGCTAGACTCAACATTGTGAAAATGTCAATTCTACCCAAAGCGATCTACAGATAGAATGCAATCCCAATCCAAATTCCACTAGCATTTTTTAATGAGATGGAGAAACAAATCACCAACTTCATATGGAAAAGGAAGAGGCCCTGAATAAGCAAAGCTTTACTCAAGAAGAAGAACAAAGTGGGAGGCCTCACACTACCTGATTTTAGGACCTATTATACTGCCACGGTAGTCAAAACAGCCTGGTACTGGTACAACAACAGATACACAGACCAATGGAACAGAATTGAGAATCCAGCATAAATTCATCCACCTATGAGCAGCTGATATTTGACAAAGGCCCGAAGTCCATTAATTGGGGAAAAGACAGTCTCTTTAACAAATGGTGCTGGCATAACTGGATATCCACCTGAAAAAAACTGAAACAAGACCCCATACTTCACACCATGCACAAAAACTAACTCAAAATGGATCAAAGACTTAAATATAAAATCGAAAACAATAAAGATTATGGAAGAAAAAATAGGGACAACACTAGGAGCCCTATAATACATGGCATAAACAGAATACGAACCATAAGTAACAATGCACAAGCACCAGAAGAGAGACTAGATAACTGGGAGCTCCTAAAAATCAAACACTTATGCTCATCAAAAGACTTCACCAAAACAGTCAAAAGACAACCTACAGACTGGGAAAAAATTTTTGGCTACGACAAATCCGATCAGGATTTAATCTCTAAAATCTACAAGATACTGCAAAACCTCAAAAACAAAAAGACAAATAACCCAATTAAGAAATGGGTAAAGGATATGAACAGGCACTTCACCAAATAAGATATTCAGGTGGCTAACAGACACATGAAGAAATGTTCACGATCATTAGTCATTAGAGAAATGCAGATCAAAACTACAATGAGATATCAACTCACCCCAACAAGGCTAGCATTAATCCCAAAAACACAAAATAAGAAATGCTGGAGAGGTTGTGGAGAGACTGGAACACTTATATACTGTTGGTCGCAATGTAAAATGGTACAACCACTCTGGAAATCAATCTGGTGCTTCCTTAAAAAGCCAGAAATAGAAGTACCATACGATCCAGCTATCCTGCTCCTTGGAATATATCCTAGAGAAATAAGAGCCATCACACGAATACATATATGCACACCCATGTTCACTGCAGCACTGTTCTCACAATAGCAAAAAGATGGAAACAACCCAGGTGCCCATCAACGGACAAATGGATAAACAAATCATGGTATATCCACACAATGGAATACTACACAATGATAAAGAACAACAATGAAGCTGTGAAACATCTTATAACATGGAGGAAGCTGGAGGTCATTATGCTGAGTGAATTTAGCCAGTCACAGAAGGACAAATATCGTATAAGACCACTATTATAAGAACTCAAGAAAAGGTTTAGGAGGACTTCTGGGCAACAAAGCATTATGGTCAGAAGCACCACGCTGTCCCTCTGCAGCAAAGATCAGAAAAACTAAGTCAGACAGAGTCACACGTCAATCCTGAAGCCCTAAGCATCAAATGAAGAGAGAAAAAAAACTCAGCCAAACACTGAATGGAATAAGAAACTGACTGAGAACACAGAGCAAAGAGAGATATATGCAGGGTCCCCTACCAGCTACCACAGCACGGATCCGCCATCTTGGACTCCTATCGGAGATCCGTGAACAGGGTGTATGAGAAAGCAGCTTCACGGAGCTTCCAGCAGGAGACAGAACAACCAGTAACCAGCAATACATGCTTTCTCACCCCCGACCCTTCTTCACCCCCACTTAGCCTCCTCTGCTTCCTGCAGCCACAGTCTCTCGGTCAGAAAGCACCAGCTTCACGCTGGTGTCGCTTAGATTCCACCCGCCCTCACTGGTCAGCAACCTAAGTGCCTTTCGCTGGCTGCTGGTGTTGCTTTTTTCCGCTTCTTGAGATTTCTTCCTCACCTCTCACCACCTCCTCCCTCCTGTTTCTCAAATACCTGGCTCCGTGTGCCATCTTTGCTTCTTCCTGAAAGGCTGTGAAACACTGCTCAACAGTGAAACTGCTTGCTGGCCCGTGCCGCCACGCTGGTGGGACCCCTGGGCTTTTTGGTTTGTTTGTTTGCTCTGATTTGTTCTGTATTGATTTGTTTGTTTTCTTTTTCTTTTCTCAGCTTGGGAGCCCCTTCTAGCCGAGCAGTACCGCACGGCTCGGAACCTAATCCCTTACTCTGTGCAGAAGCACACGGACATCCCTGGGGGTATATCTTTTCTCTTGTTTTTTTTCTTTTTTTTTTGTTTTAGTTTTTTTTGTTTGTTTCTTTCTTTCTTGGTTTTGTTTTCTTCTCTCTCTTATTCCCTTTTTGTCTCTCTTCATTTCCAGTGTCTCGATTTATTCTTTTTTTCTTTTGCCCTTTTACTTTTTTTTTCATTTTTGTTTTTCCCCATTTCTCAGTCTCTCATCTCTCCACCCCAACAGCAAGCTCCCTCAGCACTTTTTTGTTTGTGTGTATGTTTTTGGCTCCTGTTCCTCTCTCCTCTCTCTCCTCTTTCCCATACACCATCTTAGCTCTACACATCACGATCTACCCCCTTCTTCCTGCCTACCTGCACTGTGCGCTGAACACCACACGCCCAGGCAGCACAGACACGGCCTGTTGGAACCTGCCATGCACTGATTCCCAGTCCGTGCTGTCAGCCCTGGTACATGCCACAACCAACCCATCCCAGCAACTCCCCTACAGCTATACCTGCCCTCCTGTACCATACCTGAGTGACTGACCCTGCCCATTGGAGAAGAAGGTGAAAAGCATCATGCCCACAGACGAGCAAACAACAGAGAACACACAGTCCGCCTGCTCAGACATAACCAAATAAAACAAAAAAGCAGGACGAAACAAACAAATCTACAATCAATAAACGAGGAAAATAACCAATGAATGCCCCAAAGACAGCAGACAATATCAAAACATTTAAAAAACAGGACAGGATGGTTCCAGTAGGCATCCAAAATAAAACACCAGATGACCTTCTAGTAGAAGAAAAGGCACTAGACCTAACTGACACAGAATTCAAACCTCTAATATTCAGAATTATCCATGAGTTG